CAGAATATAGTAATGTTCAAACAAAATAAAAAGTACATAAATTCTTAATAGCATTAGAAGTGATAGTGGGAGGAATTGTGGATGTTGGGACAAGAAGGTTGGGTCAAATGGGTTGCGGTGTAGTTATCTGAGGAGGGTTGGGTTGATGCAAGCTAGAGTAAGGATAAGTGGCTTCATAAAAGACGACGTGGCGGGAGAGATAGGTTTTGTGGTTTTCCAGGTTGTAAAATTTGTACCCCTTGTGATGTGGAGAGTAACCAAGGAAGATACATTATTGAGAACGAGGTTGAAGTTTATTTGTTGTGTAAGGTTTTAGCCACGGATAGCAAAGGTAGCCGAACGGACGAAGATGGGAATATGAGGGAGGTTTATTGTACAGAGCTTTATGAGGAGAACTGCTGTTAAGAGATTTGGAGGGAAGAAGATTTATAATGTAGTTTGCGGTGGCCAGAGCATCCGCCCAAAAATGAGATGGGAGTTTGGAAGTATGCAGCAAGGTGCGAGTTATATCGAGGAGATGCCTGTGCTTTCTTTCCGCAAGACCGTTCTGTTCAGGTGTGTGAGGACAACTCAATTGGTGAAGGATGCCGTGATCCTGAAGATAGGCTTTAAAGGCTAGGCTTGTGAATTCCCCGCTGCCATCGGATCTAAAGATTTTAGGAGTTGTGCTGTGTTGATTTTGTATTAGACTGCAAAACAACTTAAATTTTGTAAGTGTTTCTTGTTTGGAATGCATAAAATATAACCAAGAGTATCTAGTAAAATCGTCCACAAATACAACATAATAGCGAAAACCATGTAGAGAAGCGATAGGTGTCGGCCCCCATACATCCGAGTGAATAAGCTCGAAAGGGTATGAGGTAACCGAGCTGCTATTTTTAAAAGACTGTCAGAGGAGTGGTATGGATGGAGGCCGTGGGTTGAGAGGTGTTAAGATTAGGAGGGGAATAAGATGAGGTTTGATCATAAGTGATAGTGGGAGGAATTGTGGATACTGGGACAAGAAGGTTGGGGCAAATGGGTTGCGGTGTAGTTGTCTGAGGAGGAGGGTTGGGTTGATGCAAGCTAGAGTAAGGATAAGTGGCTTCATAAAAGACGACGTGGCGGGAGAGATAGGTTTTGTGGTTTTCCAGGTTGTAAAATTTGTACCCCTTGTGATGTGGAGAGTAACCAAGGAAGATACATTATTGAGAACGAGGTTGAAGTTTATTTGTTGTGTAAGGTTTTAGCCACGGATAGCAAAGGTAGCCGAACGGACGAAGATGGGAATATGAGGGAGGTTTATTGTACAGAGCTTTATGAGGAGAATTGCTGTTAAGAGATTTGGAGGGAAGAAGATTTATAATGTAGTTTGCGGTGGCCAGAGCATCCGCCCAAAAATGAGATGGGAGTTTGGAAGTATGCAGCAAGGTGCGAGTTATATCGAGGAGATGCCTGTGCTTTCTTTCCGCAAGACCGTTCTGTTCAGGTTTGTGCGGACAACTCAATTGGTGAAGGATGCCGTGATCCTGAAGATAGGCTTTAAAGGCTAGGCTTGTGAATTCCCCGCCGCCATCGGATCTAAAGATTTTAAGAGTTGTGCTGTGTTGATTTTGTATTAGAATGCAAAACAACTTAAATTTTGTAAGTGTTTCTTGTTTGGAATGCATAAAATATAACCAAGAGTATCTAGTAAAATCGTCCACAAATACAACATAATAGCGAAAACCATGTAGAGAAGCGATAGGTGTCGGCCCCCATACATCCGAGTGAATAAGCTCGAAAGGGTATGAGGTAACCGAGCTGCTATTTTTAAAAGACTGTTTGTGGCTCTTGGCCATATTACAAGAATTGCAGAAGAAAGATAAAGGAAAATTCTTGATCTCGGGAATTTCTTGAGCAAGCACATGAAGAGTCTGGTTGTTCGGGTGTCCCAAACGAGCGTGCCAGGTAGCCGAAGATGTGGTGGTAGTGTGGAGGGCTTGCGGGTGACTGTCTTGAGCTACGTGTAGTTGGTAGAGGCCGTTATGTAGACGGCCACGAACTAGTGGACGATTGTCCTGCATATCCTTAACAGTGAAGCCATGAGAATCGAAAGTAATGGAAATCTTGTTATCAGTGGTTAATTTCGAAACAGATAAAAGATTGTGTGTAAGGGAAGGAACATGAAGGACATTGCATAAGTGAAGCTTACGGGGCGTGTCCGGTAATGGAAGCAAACCTTGACCGTAGTTTTGGATCGGCAGGGAGGAGCCGTTCGCAATGGTCACCGATTCTTGACCGGTGTAAGTAGACGGATGGTGAAGCATGGTGCTATCGGAGGTAAGATGTGTTGTTTCACCGGAGTCTAAGATCCACGGCTGCGAGGTGCTTGACGACGGTTGAGCGAACATTGCACGAGGTCCATTGGGTATTGTGGGTGCGTATTTGAAGTTGCACCGGTGCCAACAATTAATGGCTATGTGGCCATTCTTGCCACAAATTTGGCAAGTCGGGCGAGCTGCAGAATTCTTGTCGGAGGAAGAAATGGCCTCACCGCTGTCTGGTTGTCAAGGTTGAGCATTCTTGGGTTTATTGAATCATTTTTTATAACGGTTTCTGAACTGGTTGTTAGAAGTGGCGTAGAGTGCAGTAGCATTGAGAGCGGATTGATCTTTTTGCAAATCTTGATTTATGTGAATCTCTTCGCTGCAGAGCAGTGAATAGAGATTGTTGAGATCAACCGGTAGCGGTGAAGTACGGATCGCCGTTTTGAACGAGTTGTAGGAAGGTGGTAGTCCGTTGAGGGTGTAGAGAACGACATCTTCCGGATCAATCTTGGTACCGGCAGCGGCGATGTTGTCAACTATGTTCTTGATTTGGGACAAATATTGCTGCATGGTAAGATTATTCATCTGAATATGATGAAGCTCGTTCTTGAGTTGGATAACTCGAGACCGGCTTGTGGATTGTAGTTGTCGTTCGAGCGTCGTCCAGACTTCTTGAGAAGTCGTGACAGTGATCACGTAGGGAAGAAGAGGGGGGGATATAGTAGAACAGAGGGCAGTGATTAGATGTTTGTCAATGAGATGCCAGCTAGCAAGATCAGCAGAAGGGGAGTCCGCCGGAGGAGGACAAATCCCGGTCAGATGATCGGAGTAACCATTGGCGGAGAAGGTTTGTGAAACTTGGAGACGCCAAATGGGATAATTCTCAGGTGAAAGATGGTGGGGAATGAGGTTTTTGATATTAGAAATTAGGAATTTGAGGGATACCGGAATGGCCAGATCAGTTGACCTGCCAGCGGTGGTGGTGGAGTTGGGAGGGAGGGAAGAAGATGATTCTTGATCTCCCATTGGCTCTTGATACCATGTGAAGAGACTGAGAGCAACAGAGAAAATGCACAGGAGACGGAACAGAGTAGAAAGGAAGAAAGGAAAATGAGAAGAAAAGATAAATTATGTATATTAGTTCTGTGAGATACAAATGATATATATAGACAGAGTATTGGTATAAAGGTAAATATTGCAAATGACTGAACCGTATGCTTATAATATGTAATACAATTTCACATGCATAGGTCATCAAAATGAAAAAGAATTTGCCACAGATTCATGCGAAATGTTTCTTTCTTGTGATCTTCATGAAAGAATGAGCTCAAATTACACCACTCAGAAGAAAATTTAATAAAAAATGGCATACAAAAGTTAAAAATTCTTAAATAAATGGAGATAGGAAGCAGTACCCTTCTGCTTCTCTTGTTTCTTAACACTCGCTGCATTCTCCTTTTCTCTTGCCCTCGGTGCACCATTCTGCTCAATATGATGTTTCCGATCCAACTTTATCTCCTCCAAAATCTTGTCCTCCGCCGTCGTATCGTACCTCTTACCCTCGCCAAATCTCGCCGGCTTATTCTGCAGCCATCGCGTCATCTCCCGCAAGGGAATAAATTCTTCCCCGTCCACCTCTTCTTCCCCCTCGTCTTCACAGTCCTCTTTTTCATCGTCAGAGACGAAGGTGGCACTGGTGGAAAAAGCTCGGCTCCGCCTCCGGAAAGCAAAATTGATGATGCATCCTCTACACCAGTGAGAAGAGATTGTCAAAGCCCATATTGGTTTCTCACTATTTATGGTAAGCGCGGGGCGGGAAAAATAGTATGGAAGGTTGTTTCTGTAATCTGCGAGGGATTGAGCAGAGAAGAGTTTCGGATTTGGGAGCAGAGTGGCCATGGATTGCAACTCTTCTCTTGCGAAGAGATTTATCTAGTCGAGTCTTACACACTGGAAAATGATCACTGACCCGACATTGACCCGTTTTGATAACACGACAACTAACCCGTAAAATATTAGCTTGTGCAAATGAGACTTTTGGGGGTTATTTTTTTATTCGATTACAATTTTTTTTATTTTCATAATTTTATTAAAATATAAAACATTACGACTAGCTTTTAATTTGAGTGACACGACATTTAATGATCTGCATTCTATATTATGTCGCTTACTAAGCTTCTATATATAATATTTTATGTTAAATACAAAAATCATAATAAGTTTGTAAATTTTACTTCATGAGCTAATGCTATAACCCATAATAATTGTTATAGAAAATATCATGGTAATAGACAAACAGATTTTAACGTTCTTAATTTTTTAAAATATTTAACACTTCACATATAATAAAAAATAAAATGAGAGATACTACAAAATTTTTGTACATGAAAATTATAAAAAGAAGGAAATTACTATATATATTTAGATGAAATGATCCACTATATAGATATCTTATTAAAAATTCTTCTCTTCCCCTTCATTAAAGAAATGGGATCACAAAGTCTTATTTATAAAGTTTGTATTGTTGTAGATGCGTTAGGGAATGCTTCAGATGTAGTAGTTTGAATAGGCAGATGTAGTAGTTGAAAGTGTTAGTTCGGACGATAATGATCGGATGACAATTGGCCAAGATGTGGATGAAGTTAAGAGTGATGAGTCAAATGAGGCTAGTAGAATCATTATGAATTTGATTATTGATGATCATGCGCATATAATGTCATGTCAGTGACAATCAGGAGATAATAGTCAAACGATGTAGTCAAATGATATGACAGAATAATGACAATCATTGGTGACGGTTAATGATTAGTGCGTGCTCTCGAGATCAAAACGTCAAGTAAGCTCTAAGAAGCTCTTTATATCTTCATGCTCTCTCTAAGCTCAAGGTTTAATAAACCTTTATGTGGCGATTGTGGGGCTATTTTCATACTTTCAAAATGGATATTTAGGTCTTATATTTAAAAAAAAATTCTAGAACATTCCATTGTATAATCATATCGAATTCGTTTGATCAAGATTGTTTATTCGTCATTTAACGCTACTTTAATGGCCTTTGGAAGCAATTGATCTTGGATTTTTTTGGATTCATTCTTTGTCAAGTTGCTCGTTTTGACTATAAGCAGGCGACACTATTCGAGACAGCTTGATCTTTCAATTATGTCCTAAAGTTGATTAATTATTCTTCAGTGCTTGATTTTTGGACTGTGGAGCAGGATTCATATTTTTCTTAGTGTTATGTGCTAATGGTTTTTGAAACTGGACCGAAACCAACTGTTCAATCGTTTGTGAATAAAATTTCAAATGGTTGAATTTGGCCCGTCTTAAAAAACTGTACCCAGTATCAAATTGGTGTTGACATATTTGAACCGTCGGTTCAACTGGTCAACCTGTTGAACGGATCCTGATTTTTAAGAATCGATCAGTGAATTAATATCCTATTTAAATTAAATAAGTAAATAAATTTATTTATAAAAATATTTTAATACTAAATTAATTTAAAATAACAATTTTTTAATTTTATAATAAGCCTTATTTTTATAATAAATTTATTAAGACATCTATGATTGACTAGTTAAGCGCATGTTTGATTACCATTTTACTTAACTAACATCTCAAGTTTGAACTTGTTTATTAAAAGGTCAATGATAAAAGAATTAAGTTTGAAACATCTTAAAAGCTTGATTTTGTTTTATGATATAAATTAATCATTTAAAGCTTATGAATTAGCTATTAAAAAAGCTCTGTTTAAGGATATTATAACGCTCATTTAGGCCTAATAGTTTCCTTGTTTATGATTTTAGGCACAAATGCTTTAGCCTACGATTGGAACAAGATCCTATTTGGGTTTAGTTCAGTTCTTTTGAAGCACTTATTTCTTATCTTATTTTCTATAGCATACACTAGATCTTACTGCGCTCACCAACCCTTACTTCCTTAGTCCTTAAATGGGGCCCTACGTTCCTCGGCAATGGAGGTATTCACAACTCTCTCCCAGATGTTCCACATGCAAGGTATCGTACGACAGAAAAGCTGACACTGGACAAACATCTTCTGCATCCATCACCATAGCGTCTATTGATGGATAAATTCAACATCAGTCGTTAGTAGAGCCTTCTAGCAACCCACCCTAATGTTATAATGAACCCACAGCATGCATCCTCCATGTCCAAGCTTAGAACTAACAATTAGCACTATTACATATCTCCTGCACTATAACAAAAAAAAATCATCATTAACTGAACGGTTTAATACACAGATTGACTGGAATAAACCCTGCTAAGAAATGAAAACCCGCGACAGGCCACTTTGTCCCCGCGCAAGGCAAATTTTCCTGCCAGTTTGTTCGGAGGCTAAAACAGCCGGAAACTTAATGAACTAAAAAAAAAAACCCCCCCCCTAACAGTCGCCAAGGTAATACCGCCAAACGTAAACTATCCCAGTGCCAAACACCATCCATAAATGGGACCGCCGGTATTCAATGAATTTTTGTTGTAACGGTCGTTAGCTAGCATTCACGACACAAAACAATCACACATGGAACTTCTCTATCTAACTTATGTAGTGATTGGTAACGTTCATCTTGATGGTATGCGTCTTTTTCTTTACTGCTCCTATCATATCTTTCCACACATCATCTCAAGATCCCACGTTACCTTTCTCCTCACTACGATGCGACTGTACCTTGCTTGCAATTCTTTCCCATTTAGATAAGCCATTACTCAGAATATATTTTCTTCCGACGGATTCTTCTTGAGCACATTCACTGGCTTACGAAATTGATTCAGTCCTCTTCATTCAGCACGTAATGGCTGCCCTAATGTATTTTTGCCTTCATCGGACTAATACAACACCTCAAAAATTTTTCCTTTCATAACTAAAGCACTCTCCTTCATGCATAGGCTTTGTAGTTATGACACTAGCTTCAAGGTATGCTTCATTAATCAACACAATTGTATGGATGGAATTTGCACAGAAATAAGTGTAGCCTTTTGACCCTACTTGATGCTAGAACAAGGAAATTATTTTGAAAAACAAATATTTTAGAATATTTTTATTAATATGAAAATCAATGTATTAATACTAAATAGGACCTTCTATTGGTTCAAATCTTAGATTATCAAGAATTATTTATGAAAGTTATCAATTTATAACCCCAAACATTGATTATAGCGATGGTCACTAACATCTCATACACACTCTAAATATACGAATGATTAGTCTCCCCATACTAACTTCTAACTAAACATGTTGGAGCCAGGTCCTGCGACACCATCTGTTCAATATAACTACCATAGCGATCTCCCACACTCAACCACATACATCTCCATAAGACAGGGAGATAGAACCATATACATAACCCCCCCAATGTGATGTTCCTTCTCACATTAAACTTAACACCTAAATACGGTTTTACAGTGTAATTTCTCCAAATTCAACCTTCTACTAACCTAAAAAGAACAAGTGTTGCCATTTAAAAAAAAGGAGAAATTATTTGGTGCGGAGACCAGATTGTAGAGGGGTATGTCGGACTCCAATTTAAAATGTGACACGTGGATATTCGATTGGTTTTATTTTTTTTACTTTATATAGTTTAATGTGTTCGCGGAATTTTAAAGCCAGTGTAAGCCGCACCAAAAAGTGCAACCAAACGTAAGGTAAGTGCAGGTAAATATGCGAGTCAAATGACGTCAATATAAAAAGATCTCAACAAAATAATTATAAAGAAAACTACCGCATATAAATGATGACATAAGATAAAAAAGCAATCACTCAGTTAAAGCCTTAAGAACAATATAGAATATAAACTCAAAGTTGCCTAAACCACACGTCACATATTGAAATCAATACGTGCGTGAAATGTACCAGAAGCCGGACGACAAATATCTCTATATCGATCTCCGCTTCTTCAACTTAAAAGGCCCTCACCATAGAGTGCTTGATAAAAGGAAATATGATTACTATATGATCACATAGACACTTTTAAGAGCCACCTATTAGATGTGTTAGTGTTCATGTTATTAAGTGCT